AAATCAATCTCGGAAAGGCTGTTACATATGTACGTATTTCATAGAACCATTTTTTAATCAGATCAGTGTTTCCTCTAATATATCCATCAATTATACGAATAATGTGCACTGAATAAACTGCTCTTCTTTACCTTTGTACTGAAATGCTGCAGAATATTATGCAATCTAGTGGAATATCCACTGGGCTGGTGTTGGACTGGTGCAAGGAGCCCTAATAATTACTCTACAGCACACTCTGTGGCTGGGATGAAGACCAATGCACAGAATATAGTGCCTTCAATGTTGTTACATTCCTTTAAACGTAGAAGGTTGGCGTGAGATTTCAATCACCAAAATGTCACAGATTGTTATTCATAAAATGTAATGTTTTTGCAGCGTTTGTTTAATTTTAATAAGGAACAGGTCACTTTTATGATTGTGTCATATGTAAAGGTCTTATTTTGTGAATGTATAAATCACTGTTGCAGGGTGAACAACCTTTTTTCTTAAGTGATTGGTCATTGTTTGTAATTGTTTGTCACTCTACAAAATATCTTCTGGTTCATCATCATTATATTTCCACCCAGTGGCACAAGATGTGAGTTTGCCTTTTACAATAACTTAAGCTCCAGTTAATGCTGCAGTTTTCAAACAAAATGTTACCATCTAAATTCATTATGAAGCTTCAAAATGGCAGCATACACAAATTCAGGGATTGGCCATGAATAACCCATTACATGCAAAGATTTTTTTTTTTTATCATTTCTTTTATGAGATCAAAACTGCCTATGTAATGTTTTTTTGTGGAGTTTTTGTTTTCTTTATCTAAGGATAGTGGGTGTGTTTGAGACAATGGCAGACCAAAGATATATAAAAGACGCAATAGGATGAGTCAGCAACTCGTGTTAGTGGCCTGGGCTAAAGTATGAAATCTCTAGATGTTGATTTGATAAAGCGGGGATGTGTAGGAGCCTCTGTTTTACACTTTGGTTTCATGTTGGGGAGCACAGTGTGCCTTGATGCTCAGTGTGTGTTGTTGAATGAATGGGCATGGTGCAAAAATGTTGAGTTGTGTATGACCACACCCCACTGCTGTTGGGTAATGCCACAGTGGATTTTTTGTTCCTATTTTTAAACCATGCTGTCCAAACATGTTACATTCCAGGGCCAATAAAACTTTCTCATGGCCACTTCGACTGTCTTTTTCTGAGTGTATTTACTGTACATGCACACATCTGTATTGTTAATTTACTGTGTCTTAAGATCAGCTAATATTTTGTGGCTAGTGGGGGAAAGTAACTGAGGAAGAGTACTGTACTTTTTTTTTTTTTTACAATTTTAAGGTACTTGTACTTCACTTGAGTATTTCCATTTCATGCTACTCCTACTCCACCGCATTTTGGAATATTGTACTTTTTACTCCACTACATTTATTTGATAGCTTTAGTTACGTTACAGATTAAGATTTTTAACAAATTATGATGTGTCATTATGTGTTAAGATACCCGACAGTATAGTAAATACGAGTAAGTACTGGTTGCACAGCGAACATTTTGACTTAACAAAGGTGTAAAAACACAGGTAGACTTAATAACAGTATCAACGATTCCATTCCATTATGTGTCCCAGTAACAGAGACTGTGAACTAGCAGCACAATATCCTCCCATAAGTGGAATGCAGCTGTCATTAATACACCTGTGAGTGTCCTGTTATGACATGCCAAAATGTCTGCTCTGCAACCAGTCCATTAAAGTTGGTAGAAAGTAACTAAAATGATCTCCGCCCCTTCCCAGCTTCAACATTATAGTGACATACTTATGAATGCATAACTAATTATAATCCAGTAATATAACATATATGATTCTAAGAAGGGCCATTCTGCATGATGAGGAACTTTAAGTATATTTCTATGCTAATGCCTTTGTACTTAATAAGATTTCCCCTACAATCAAAAATATGTTTTTCTTCCTGTTCCTCCAGTTGGATGTTTGAGCTTCACTGTGCGGAATGTTGTACGTGCAGTGTTAGACACTACAAAGACGTTTCACATGAATCTGCTCAAAGTGAAAATTTCCTCTGTGCTCACTGAAAATCAGATTTTAAGGGGCATGGTCTACGAGCATGATTTGTGACTTTACAAATAATTTGGAAGTCAAACCTGGTCCAGTATGCAACTTAAACAAGTGTGATGTAGAAACCTGAAGCCGCCAGTGCACAAACACTGAGAATGGACGTTAGGAGACAGCTTGTGTCCAGAAGGAAAACTTTAGAAAGGAACAAAATTAGCATATTCATGGATTGTGGATGTTTTAATGAGGTAGAAGGAAGTTTATGTATTTCTCTCTGTCATACCGTTACAAAGATTGACATGAGTGACAACAAAAAGCCAAAATAATGACAAAGTCTGCCTGGCTGCACAAATACATCTGGATATTCATTATATAAGGCTTTAATAAGCTCTTTCTTTCTTTCTTTCTTTCTTTTTAATAAACATAAAAATAGTAGAAAGTCTTTGCTCCTCCCTCCTCTGCTCCTTGATCTTTCATATCATGTGAGAAAAACAGGAAGCAGCAGGAGGGTGTGCTAACTATAACACAAAAGCTATGGTGGACATATAAAAACACGTCCTGAAAAACACACGTACACACACAAGCATGCGTGCATGCAAATAGGAATAGTGCCTATACTCCCAGTTCTCCTGTCTAATCCTCTCTGTAAATAAACCCCATGTGCATTAGAGCTTGTTTGAACTCCTGCTCCACTGTCGGATTACAGCCTCATCTGCTGTGTTTACCTTTGACAGAAGGCACAGCGCTGTAGTTTGTGCATGCATGAAACATAATGCAGACTTACAATATTTCTCTCCTGCATGGCAAAAAGTCTTTATATCAATGCGTCCAAACCCTGAAATACAGCACAGTTGGGTGTTGAATTTCAGGGTTTTGTAACCGCCTCTTGATCACTGTCTCTATGGGGACCTCTGCTGTAAGAAAGTGGTGCTCAGCCGAAAATGATTGAATGATATTTTTAACCTCCAGAGCAATTATTGCTGCATATCACCGGTGTGGATTTCTCGATTGCTGCAGTTCTCTGTTATTAAAGAGATTCCCTGCAGCTGATTCACATGCGGTCATTGCATTCAGCCTGTTTTCTGAAGTCCACCCCAGGTTTTACCAGCCTGTCTCAGCCTCACTGACAGCTCAGGCAGGATGCGCTGAGCGGCGCACTTTCTACTGTACACATTCATCTGGTTTAGACCCATCCACATTTTCTACAGATCTGCAAATCGCCATCGCGGGACCTCGTTTGTTGCTCATGTGCCAAAATGTGATTTTATTATGCCGTGGCCTGGTGGTGCTGCCTCAGTTAAAAAAAAATACCGACGGGAAATTCTTGCACGACAGCGTGTGTCACAGGACGTTTAACGCTTTGACCTTTGACTGGCAGCGAATGACAAATCAAAGGTCGGTATCGTGAGCGGAGCCGGGGTTCAAAGCGCATCTCCACCTCGGCACAAGACGGCGCTCCCCGGGAGAAATGGTAGAAACCGATCTGACAGGTAATGTCATCTTTCTGTCTCTACTCAATCTGAATGGGATTCATGTTTTATTGGCAGAGGAGGGGGAGAGAGCATCATGATCCGTGCGTGGATGTTGCATAATATCAGGCTACCTCTGGAAATCCACATCACCCCCCCTCCTCCACCACACACACACACACACACACACACAGTGCATCTCTGCGCGGTGGACAGAGAGGTTGCCATCAGGATGCACTTGTGTCGATCCGTTTATTCTTACAGATTCATCTAAAATCACCAACGTGTGTCTGTGCTCAGGGCCTGTGTGTGTCTGGATGCGCACACGAGCATCATGAATGACATCATTTTGGGTTATTTTTGTTCAGGTGTCGATTTTCTCCCCCTCCCCACATAGCTGATGTGTAATTACACATTCTATCTTTCCGGTATAGATATTATTGCTACTGTTTCTTTACACGTCTGATAAATGACATCTCTCCGGATTAATGAGAATTTACAGTGTGAAGGTTGCCTCTTCAGCTGGGTTTTTCTGTCAGCTGATGATTTCGGTAACGGCATTTGAGGACACCCTTTAAAGGCGCACAGCACCAAGTCCGCAACCCATGTACGCCTGTAATATTAAAGAGGACAGGTGTTTGGTTTTTTAAGCCGCCTTGTTATTTGGCATTCGGACGTGATTGGTGTCTCTTGTATCTGGATCATCAGTATTATCAGAATCATCATCTTCATCAACGGGGGGGTTGTATGTTGAGAGGAGAGCTCCTCTCTTGTGTTGACCAATAGAGATCAACAGCGTCACACACGTCACGTGAGCAGCTTAACATAGCTTGGTTTCATGTTGTGACCATCAGGCACTGAGGATAGTTCACACTGCAGGCACAAGTGGCCCAAATCACTTTTTTTATTTTGCTGATGTGATCTTTTTTATTTTTTTTTTGATAAATCACATTAAATCTGAGGTTTTTCAATTCTGATACAGGTCGGATTTTTTTGCAGTGAGACTTTAGTGTGAACAGCCATATCAGATGTGAGGACACTGTTGATTCATGTGACTTTGTGTCTCTTAAGATCAGGGATCTCAAACTGCAGGCCAGGTCCATCCCCCTCCCTCCCTCCGGCTGGCGTCATGATGTCAAAAAAAGTATTTTGCACATTTTGCAGCCACCGTAGTTTCTACCTGAAGGGAGTGAGTGGCAATCTGCAACTACACCACTAGATGCCACTAAATCCCTCACACTGGAGCTTTAAGTATAATGCTAGTATAAATATAAATATGGAAATATTTTGAGAATATTGTGTTTTCTTGTTGCACTGTGATGACAATACGAGCAATAGCCCAAAGCCAATTTAAGTTTGAGACCCCTGCTCTAGATCTACGTTCGTCATTCGGGTCACTTCCAGAGAATTTAATAAATAATGTGAACAGCCAAGCCAAAAAGTCCGATCTGAGCAGTAAATCCGAATTGAGCGCTGAGGCTTGCTACCTTGTTCACTCATCAGGCTTCAGTGAATCATCGTTGCCATATCAGACTGACCCCTAATAATAACGTCACAGTGAAACAGAAGTTAGAGCGTGTTTAGTTTCCATAACGTGAAGTATTTATGATGGACCATGTGGGTGGAGTTTAGTTTATCCTACTTATTTTATTGGATCACTTTAAAGTGGGCGTGGCTGAATGCAGCAATTGAGTAAACATTACAAAAATAGTCCTCCAAATAGCGTCAAAATATACTTTAGTAACAAGTACTCATTATGCAGAATGGCCCATTTCAGAATAATGTAAATTGTATAATTGTGTTATAATTGTTGATGCACTTATGTACTTTAATGTTGCTGCTTCTTAAGGTGGGGCTCATTGTAATACATTTTCTATAGCCTACTGCTGGATAGCTTGTGATTTTTTTTACATTTTGTATTATAAGTAAGTAAAAAAAGTTATTGAATAAATGTACTGGAGTAAAAAGTATAATATTTGCCTCTGAATTGTAGTGGAATGTAAATATAATAAATATAATATCTAATATAAATATAAAGTCACAGAAAATGAAAGTAAAGTACGAGTGCCAATTGTAGTTGGCTACTTGAGCAAATGTACTTAGTTACTATCCACTACTGGTTTTATATGATTTGCTAAATAAAAAAATGTTTAAGGTAAAGGAAGAAAAATGCGACGCATTTAAATATGATGATTTGACACATATTTAGCATTTAACAAGATCTAAATGAATAATCAGAATTTGGAAAATGTTTTAAATTTGTGTCTTAAAAACATATAATTTCACTACTAGATGAATAGATTCTGTTGTAATGCCTCTGTTTATGGTGCGTTTAAAAGAGCACGTGCACAAGGGGGTTTCAACCTTTTTTATGGTTGATGGCAGGGACTTAGAGTCAGTAAACAGCTCGTGTCGTCCTCAGCACTTCAACAGGATACATAGGATAGGTTTCAGTCCCTAAAGTGGGCCACCTGCCAGCTCAGTGGAAGTGGCACACACCAGGGCAGCATGGATACCGTTGTTCTCCTCTGAAGACACATAGTGTGTATCTGTGATGTTTCAGTTTTACCCACTGGGAACAAGAATCCTTGGATTACAGGATCTAAAGTCTCACAGACTGAGCCACAGATTCAAGTCCACCGTCTTTCTCGTCAAGTGAGTCCTACAGCTGATACAGCAGATTTCTGGATTCTGCTTTAACTGTTATGGGGATAATCATTAAGCTTTACTCTATCCTGGAGACTGACGGTAAAAAAACAATGAAAGTAGTGATACAGCTTCTCTTAAGTTACAAGGCCATAGTCAGTATCACATTAGAGCAGTGTCATAAAGCAGCTGAAATGGCACTTTGCATTGCCTTTAAAAGCTTTTCAGGAATTCTTAAAAGCAGCATATAAGTTAATTCATCATAAGGTCTGTTCTTACAGGTATCAGGTGTTCCTGATAATCGCTACAGGCAAGTGTACCAGCTTTAGTGAGGGCAAATAACTTTTTGTTGTGAGCCAGTGAGCCAATATTTATTCAGTGGTTGCCCAACACCAGAACACAAGAGTTCAACTATGATCCATAATACAGTTCCTAGAAATATTAAATATGGCCATTGTAGTCTCCCAGAGCCCAGGTGACACTTTTTGTTTTTTCACTGAACAGCTGTCCAAAACCCAAAGATATTCAGTTCATATATGAGAAAGAATAGCAGCAAATCTTCACATTTAAGAATCTCAGACTTGTGAATGTTTGGCAGTTTCACTTGAAAAATGTCTGAAATTATTAATGAATTAATTATTAATTAAACATAATAGATGATGGACTAAACAGTCAATAGTGTGTGAGCTCTATTTACGAGTTGGTGCGTTTATGTGTAAACCTGTGATCGTGGCAGAGACTGTGATGTCCTCACTGCACCTGCTTGCTGTATCCGAAACAGTCACTCATTAGGCCACCAACGGGTAAATATCAGTGGGCATGGTTAGGAACAAGACAGGAAGCTGCAATGCTACAATGGAGCGGCAGCACTTTGCGTCCGGTTATGGCGGGGGTAGCGTTCCTCCCTTTCGGACATTCCGTTCCCGCTGGGCTTTGAGCTCCCGTCTGCTCTCCGAAAAGAGTTTCCCAGGCTCATGTCCTCTTTTCAGAACCATGCAGGGTTTCCGTTGCCAGGGGACAAGGCCAAGGAAGGAAGCATGCCATCATTGGTCAATGTTTTGCCCTGCATGGATCCAGGCTTATTGCCCTATAAAAATTGGAGGAGCTAAAATGACAAATTTGGAGCTAAAATTAAAAATCTGTTGGATTTTAATTATATTACAAAGAGCCTATTAACATTCAAGGCTGCCATTAGTCGAGATTAATGCTGAGAAAACTCCCTGTGATGCGGGGTGAGTTTCCTTTTTCTGACAAAGCATGGTGCTGTTGTCTTGCACTGCTGACTACAAGTCTTTTATTATGACAAGGGCAGGGGTCCTCGTTCATTTTCAGCACAGGACTCAAATAAGACAATTGCTCCATTATGGGACCAGCCTCATAATTTGCTTCTTATTTATATCCAAGAAAGCAGGTCATAGCAAGAGAGCTTTTAAAAAAAATTAACTTTAATTACTTTAATTCTCTAGGACTTTTGTTATTTTAATAGATGACACTGCAAATTGACACTTTGCCTCTTCACCATGCACAGTCATGGTTACAGCAGACTCCATCCATCGTACACCAACTCTATCATGCATCTGCCTTGCATGAGCAGTTTTATTTTGATAATCGCTAAATAATTTAATCACTTTTAAACCTAAAACGTTTGTTTGCTGGTACCAGTGAGTAGTAGTATGTTTTTCTCTGTATTATATAATTGTAAATTGAATAGCTTTTGTTATAGATGGTTGGACCTGCACTCTCTGAGACTTTGGGATGGCTATTCTTTACGATTCTTTATCATTTTATAGACATAACAATTAAGTGATTAATCAAGAAAAGAATCGACTGATCAACTGATAATGAAAATAATTAAAATATTAAGAAAGTAAACCTACTTAATTCTTAAGCTATGGAAATGAATACAGACAATATTCAGTAAAAACAACTAATATAAGTTACAAGGTGGAACAACTGCCATCTACCGCTCTTTCATGGGACAATCATAATTGGCTAGAAGCCCACAGACATTTTGAAAAGAGGCTTTCAAGAGGAAATCCACCCAGAAGAGTAACTGACATTAAAACTGGGATCCCACCCTTTTTACACTGGAGCATGTGAGCACATTTGATAACATAACACATAACAGTCTTGGCTTCAAAACTAAAGACTATAATATTTCTAGAATATTATTATACAGATTTGAATGTGTGTGTGGTACTATTAGGACATGTTTATATTAGTATCACTATGATCACAAATCTGATTACAGTCAGAGTGGGAAGAAATATTCAGATCTTACAAAATATACTACATTGTAATTCCTGCATTCAAGAGTAAAAGTACAAAATATACTTAAAGTACCTACTCATTATGCAATAGCCTATTTCAGAATCATATATATTACCAGATTATATATGATGTATTACTGGCTTCATCACTTTAATGTTGCAGCTGGTAAAGGTGGAGCTAATTATAACTACATTATATACTGCTGTGTAGCGTAATCTCTAATAATATATCATCATTTATTAGTGTAGTTTATATTTAGTATTTAAAAAATGCCTAAATCTGCAAAGTAACCAGTGTCTACAGCTGGGAAATAAATGCAGTGGAGTAAAAAGGACAATATTTGCCTTTAAAATGTATAAAGTATGGAAAATGGAAATACTCAAGGCTTACAAATACCTCAAAACTGTACTTTCCACCACTGATTACATTTGTGTCAGTGGTGCTCAATTGTGATTTTACTGTGATATTTCTGATATGTTGATATATTTCTATAGGACCTTATTTTTTTTATTTTTATTTTTTACATAAAAAATGTCCCGTATTGATCAGCTTTAGAAAAAATAGTCCCATAGGCGAACTCACAACTACTGATCAGACAATGTGAATAATAGATGCAGCAGTAACATTGGAGGATTGTGTGTTGGGGTGGATTTCCCTGTTACTCAGTCGGGGACTACAGCAGCAGCAGCAGCAGCGTCGTAGTAAAAATGCGGTGCTGCTGAGAAAAGAGGAGGCAGAAACACAGAGAGAGAAAGAGAGGAGAGAGAGAGAGAGAGAGAGAGAGAGAGAGAGAGGAAGAGGGAGGGAGAGAGAGAGAGAGACCTCCTGGCAGATCATTTCTTTCCAGAAAACAGAGGAGCCCGGTCGTCCTCTCCTCCTCGGACATGTGGTGCACCCAGCAGCAGTAATAATATCAGCACAGGCAGCAGCGACGGCGGCTGTGGCGGCGACAGCGCGGCGTAGCCTACTACGTCTTTGGGGCTTCTTTTGTATTTAATTTCTTATTTTCTTTTTTCTTGTGAGTCCTTCTGTAATGAGCTTGCTGGGGGCCTACAAGAAAAAGACCAGTTACGATGGCTATGAATCTTTGCAGTTGGTCGATAGCGGCGGAGATAGCTTCAGTATCGGGAGAGGGAGCAGCAGCGGCAGCACCACACTCGCAGGCTCCATAGCGGCCACCCTTGGACCGAAGGCAGGCCCGCTCCGAGAGGAGGACTGCAGCACCATGGACAGCTCAGGTAAGACTCCTCACCGCCTCCGGCAACCGGGATGGCGACTGCACGGTGTCGTGGAGGGGTGCTTGAGTAAGATGTGTTGACTTTACGCAGCGTTAACGTGGCCTATGACACAATGGCTAACAATAGTGAAAGTGTGCGATGATGCTATGCACCTCCTGAAATCCCCTCCAGGGCTCCTAGTGGCTCCCAGACCCCACCTAAATGGATATACTGGGCTATTGTATGTAGAGCAGATAGAGATGTGTCCCAGTGCTATTGGATCTGTGTAAAATATCTAAAAGTGTTTGCTTTATTGTGAAGTGCTGCCTGGTCCTTTACCACAACCTGTAAGGGAAACTAAAACATTGGACATACAATTCAAACTAGACTGAAATGTAATGCGTAAGATGGGTGAAGTATCAAAAAAGTCTTAAAGTCTGAATATGCATAATATATAGTAGCACACAATACTCAACAATATAACAATATTAAACATGGAAAATATGGAAACATACATATAAAAACTAATTTTCCAGCCACTTTTCAGTAATAATCACATTTCATAGTCTATTTACTTTTTCATAAATTAATATATATATAAATATATATCACTAAATGTACTAATAATCTCATATGTCATTGGTAAGGAGAATAATATTAATAATAATCAGCTTTAGGAACCACAGAATAGCCTCCTCTCAGTTTATAAGTTTAGTCAACTGACCATGAATGATGGATTATGAGAAGAATGCATTCAATTATAACAACAAAAAAAACCTTGATCTTGATGACAAAGGCGCATCCATCTGTTTATCATTAATCTGAGGACAAATTCTCAACATGCTTTATTAAATTCAGGCATAATAACTAATTTCTTTTGACAGTTTATCCTCATCCAGATCAATTCTGCCGTCTGTAAAACACCCTCTTGAGAAGAATAAAGTTTTATGACAGTTAATGTGACTACTCCTGCTGCCACTACTACAAATACTACTGCTGTAACTGTAAATATTAGTTAGTTTTTTCTTATGTCACATCAAACACTTGGCCTACCCAGTATGGGATTACATCACAATTTATCAAACTGTAACAGTTACTACTTGCTATTATTCCCACATAATAACAGTAATTATTTGCAATAAATGAAGGCTAATAGGGACGTTTGTTACTTTGCCTCGGTTTAATGTTAAAGTCAGTAGAGCCTGCTCTGTGTTCACCTCATTGCAGTGCTCTGTGGAGTCAGACAGCCTTTAGGGATGAACACTTGTGTGAAACAAAAGAAGCTGGATGAGGAGGGTGGAAGGGTCAGTGAGGAAAGGGGATTGGGGCTGGTGATGGGGAGGGTGCGGTGAGAGTAGGGTGGTGGGCTCCAGTGTCAGATGTCTGTCTGGCCTGTTAGGCCTCTTTTATGTGTGTATGTGTGTGTCTATGTGTCCGTCTGCCCCATTTACACACAGCCTGATACTGAGAGGTAAAGGTTGGCACTCTAGAAGGAGGGAGACATATTCAAACAAACCATTGATCTTTCTGGCAATGCCAAGAGCTCTCTGTTCTGTTGATGTCCCGCTTTCTCTTCCTGTGAGTGGCTGGGGTCTCTCTGCTGCTGTATTTACCTGCTGGAGCCTGTATTAGAGCCTCCCCTGGTGTCTGTATTAGCAAGGTTTGTCACTGTAGCTGGCTCACCAGTCTGCACACTCCCACATCCATCTGGCCACAGACACAGAGGCATGCAGACCAGCTAACAGACAGATAGGCAAGCAACCAGGCAGATTCACACAGATATGCAGAGAAACAGATACGACGTAAAATAGAGACAAAACATACGATATACAGGAGGACATAAATTTAAGGAGTAAAGGTATGGATCGTCCACACTGCGTCATAATCAGGATGGGAATCAACATAGGGAAGATATAAAAACGACTACTCAATATAGTAGACCCAGATGGACAATAAAAAAAGCCAACATAAACAAAAAGCTAAATTAATCTTTGATATTGTTTAGAGAGGTTCAAATAGAGGCCACAGGGTTCAAATCCATAGCTTTAGCACTGGGACTGATTATGTTAAATATATGACCTGGTTTTGGCATATATAGCCTAATGCTAGCAAGTTAGCAGTTAGGTATTTTGTATGTCTAATTTATATTTGTCTCCAAGCAAGCTAGGTCTAACCCCTATGGACCAGTGGTTCCAAACCTTGGACTTTTCTTTGATGTTTTAGAATTTCTTGTGGAAAGTTTTACCTCTTTTGACCTTTAATAGGTACTGTAATAAAATAATCTGAGAGGTTCAGAGGGGGAAATTATTATTTGGTTAAACTGTTCACAACTTATAGAAATATTCAGCCACTGAGAAGGAATCACAAGCACACACTGCTTCATTTTAACATCTACAGATAGCTATAGATGATGTTGCTGTGTTTGCTGATTTAAAGAGGAGCAGCACTCAGGATTCATAGCCTGTTACTGCATTATAAAGTATGCAGTTTTAAAAATTAAGGCTGGAGATAACTGCTAAAAATAATTAGACATGGTTATAGCACGAAAAATGAAAATGAATGAATGAATCTATTAGCCTGGGCTCATCCTCTAACTACGGTACCAAGAGCAAGGACAATCTTCGACATGATCTCAAGCACTGCTCATTTACCAGTATTACTTTACATATTTGGCTGTGACTAAAGCAGGAGTCTCCCGTCTCAGTGGTCTTGTTTATAGTTTGATTGATAGTAGTAAAACCAGCCTGACTCTCAAAGTGATGGATTCAGTTTATCATGCAGCGATTGACATAACCTGACTGCAGTTTTGGGGGCGCCCTGGTGGCCTGTTGGGGTTAAGAAGCTGAACCGCAGCATCCCTGGTTCGTTTGGGAGCCTTTATTGCATGTTCACTATTGTCACTTTGTCAAAACTGTCACATTTGATGGACTAAAAGAACAATACTTGTTTACTCATAGAGTGTAAAACGCATTAATGAGTGAGCGGCAAGGTGATGCAGTGGTGAGCACTGTCACTGCAAGAAGGTCCCAGGTTCGAACCCGCTGGCAGCCTGAGGTTTGGGAGTTTGTGGCACCCACCTTTCAAAGACATGCAGGGTAATAAGTTAGGTAGTGTGAATGGTTCTTTGTTGTGTGTATCAGTCCTGTGATCAACTGGTGA